AGTCTCCTAGGATATAGACATATTTGCTTGATTTAGAAATTTTTAAAAGTAAACATGTAAAATCATTTAGAAATAAGTTTAGGTCAGTATTAGGGGGACGATAAATAACATAAATTAAGTAATTATGACATTCGATATTTAACAATTCAACAATTAACAATTCAAAAGTACGTGAAAAATAGACAAGGTCATCACGAACAACATATTTTAAAAAACATATTTATATATATATATATATGTGTGTGTGTGTGAGTGTGTGTGTGAGTGTGTGTTTGCGCGTGCGTGTAATTTTTGATACCTCGAGAATATAAAAATAAGCAAAACAATACATAATAATAATAACTATAATAACAAATAATAGAATAAATAAATAAATTTAAATCCAAAAAATAGGAGACCTGCTTTAGTTTTTCCAAAATCAAATCTTCATCCGTCGGATCATTGTTGTTGTTGTTGTTATTTGTTTGTTGTTGTTGTTGTTGTTGGTTTGTTGTGGTTGACGTCATTCTGTTGTTGTTGATGTTGTTGTGCGAATATCGTTGTATTTGTTAGTAACGTAGAAAGAACAATAATTCTAGCAAACGTATGTTTTATAAAATTATTTATTCGTTATAATTATTACTATATTACTATTATTATTATTATTATTAGTAGTAGTAGTAGTAGTATTTGTAGTAATAGTAATAGTAGTAGTATTGGTAGTAGTAATAGTAGCAGCAGCAGAGGTAGTAATAGTAAAAGTAGTGGGTAGTAGTAGTAGTAGTAGTAGTAGTAGTAGTAGTAGTAGTAGTACTGCTAGCAGTAATGTTAATTATTTTGGTTAAATAAATTAAATAATTTTAATTATGGTAACGGTAAGGTGAGATGAGAAGATGCTTCCTTGTGAATAAAGAAAACACGGATTTCTTCTCATTTTGTCATATAACAATATCACACAGCCAACTGATTGGTTGATTACCGTATGATGAATTAATTACTCACTCACTCACTCACTCACTCATTCACTCACTCACTCATTCACTCACGCACACACACACTCACTCATTCACTCACTCACACGCACACTCACTCACTCATTAATACACCAATTCACTTACTCACTCATTTACTCACTAATCCTCTCACTCACATTCACTTTCTCTCACTCGAGTCAACGATCACTTAGAGAATTTTGAAATTTACTTAATACGTTACAATATTATTGCGTAAAAAATTGATGACGACGACGACGCCGATGATAATGATTAATTGATAATGATGATGATAATCGGCTAATGAATGACGTTGGTGGCGGATTAAGATGATTAAAAATCAAAAAAGTACATACTCATATGATGATGGAACCAATAACCAGTACGAGATCACAATGACGAAGATGATAACGTGATAATGATGATGATAAGAATGATGATGATGATAAGTATGATGATGATGATTATCTAGGTAATTAGGTCAAATTGTCGGTGAAGGAAGAGTTGACGGATGGATGGATAATTGATTTCACACGCCCACTAAGTTGTATCTGCAATTAAAAAAATAGATAAAAGTCTCATAACACTAATTTAAATATATTTATATATATATATATATAAATATATATATACATATTGGATTAAGACAGTCAGAAATGAATACAATTATTGATGAAAATCACAGCATGTTCCGCGTTAGTTAGCTTTCTGTTTAATTTTTCGATTTTTCTAACGGTAGATCGTAAATCGTTGTCAAGTTTCTTGAGTTCAAAACCAAAATTTTTATTGATAGAACATCATTTAAGCATGGTAGAACAAAAAAGCTTTTCGGTATTCCAATACCATCTTTACCAATGAAATATTATTAACGGTCATTTAATTAGTTATTAAGATGTTCAACATTTTGCGATATGACACTTTTACGGTCGTCATTATCGATGAGTCTTCTGTTTCTTAATTTATTAGCGGCAAGGATTTCAATTGTACGTTGTTGTTGATGTTAAATTTTTATAGTCGGATGTCTTTCTTCTATGAGTATTGATTCGGCTAGTCGTAAATTATAATGAAAATTATAATTTAATATAGAAATAATCTATACTCACTCACACACACATATGTGTGTGTGTGAGTGAGTATAGATATATATATGTATATATATGTGTGTGTGTGTGCGTGTATGTGTAAAAATACGTGGTGTATATGGAAAAATGTTATAATAAAAGAAATGAAATTCAATGAAAAATACCCGTGCGAAACAAAAACGTGCATCGAACGATGAAAAAAATCGATTTTTGTATGTACGCTATTTTTGTATTGTATTATAAACAAACAACGATAACATAACACAAAAACAATACACATGCAAACAACAACATAATATACAAACAACGAAACATTCAAACAACAACATACAGCAAAACATACAAACATAATGCAACACAATAAAACAACGAAATACCTACAGCAGCATAAAAACATTCAACAACATACAAACATAAGAAAACACATACAAAAGCATACAAACAGTAACACAAACATGCATTTATACAAACTTGTATCCAATACAAACCAGCGGGTACTTACTAACCGAAATTAAATTGATCTAACAAGCATCTGTGTATCGCATAGTCTTATACAACAATTCTAAATTGTAAAACTTACTTATACACACACACACACACAAACACAAATATATACAAACATATATACATAGAGAGGGACTAATGCATACATGTATTTACAAACAATACACAAACACACGCATATATATATATATATGCGTGAAATATATATATATTTCATGTACAAATTTATTGGCTTAGCAAAGTTAACTTACACTGTATGTATATATGGCATACGTAGTGTAATGGTATTCATTTACGCCATATTAAATACATATAAATACATATGTGTATGTATGTATATTTATTTATATTAAATATTTTATATTAAATACTTTACATATAATAGATATATGTATGTATGTATATTTATTTATATATAAATGTATATGTGTGTATGGTGTGTATGTGTTGTTGTGTGTGTGTGTGTGTGTGTGTGTGTGTGTGTGTGTGTGAATGATCATATAAACTGTATATTTTTCTTAGTATATTTTGGACGTGGAATAAATAGACGAATAACAATTTATGTTTCAACTCATCACGGTCCATGCGTTTCTGCCTTTATTCTAAACAGATATATGGAAACAATTCATGAAATCTACCAAATTTCTGGGCCTTGAATAGTTTTTTATTACATTTCTCAATATTTCTAACCGAGTTCTTGTCGTTATTAATTATTTTATTAAATATCCAACGCTAGAAATTCGATTTTATAAATTACTGCATTAATTATGGTCTTCTACCATCATATATGCATGTATATATGCATACATGCATGAATACATACACACATACATGCACATACGCATGTGTGTGTATTATATGTGCAATATATGTTGCGTGTGTGTGCCTAGCTAGGTGCAGCAAAAATTGATTTGTTAAATTAAAAATTGATTTGTTAAATTGAACGCTACATAATAGCAAAAAATTCAATTTAAAAGCCACATCATACAGTTATAATGTATATATCGAACAATATTACTATTGTTATGTGATGTGTGTGTATATTTATAGCGAATAACTACTGACTATGTTTGTGGATGATGTTTACCTCTCTATGTCATTATATACCGTTTGTATATTTGTGTAATGTATTTAAATGTGTATTTAGTGGTGGTTCTGAGTATGTCAGAGCTGCAATAATAAATACCAAAAAATATAAAATTAGGCTGCTCATCTCTTTTTTTATCCATATAGAGTGTATCTGGTACGGAACGTATGGTCTTAATTAATTTGTTATCAGCCGATATGCATACCGGCATGTAGTCGCACCACCATCCAACATTAACGTGTGTTTTGTGTTTGTTTATGTTTGTGTACGTGCGTGGCGTGTATGTGTGTGCGTGTTTGTGCATGTGTACGTGCGTCGATTGAACATATATGTAAATATTTTATAGCAGTTGGTTTCTATAATAACTATAATATTTTATTATTATTTATAGAAACGACGGTCATCACCCCACGTACAAACAGTACAAACAAATACAAACAAACACACAAATATACATTCGTACACGTAGCAATACCTATTAATACGAACAATTACAAAGATGTATACTTATAAAATTAATAAATTAACTCATAAAGTGGATAATAACTGATTTAATACCGCCACAAACACCATATTTCATACTACACATGTACTAACCAACGAGCCCATTGTGCTATTTGAAGCAATCAATCACACCATTTAAATGTTATTTAATTATTATAAAAGTCTTCGCCTTATAAGAACCATGTACATACACACACACACACACACACACACACACACACACACACACACACACACACACACACACACGCACGCACACGCACACACATATATATATATTTTTATGTGCCTGCGTGTGTGTGTATGTGTTTGTGTGTGTGAAAGTATGTTCGGTGTGTTGCAATACAAAATATTTCCTTGTTGGTTCGTAAGTTTACAATAGTGATCATAAATAATGTGTGTTAAACACCGAAAATTGACTGTTTGTACGTTGCATTGTACAGAAAGTGCAGATCATTTTGTATGAAAGTGTATTAAAAACCAAAAGTGTGTACAGTTACCACGTGTTGTTTGTTTACGACCAGGTGTAGTATTTGTTGGTGAATACCTGAATGTAAAAGTGTCTCATGCAAGTTGTTATACAGGTGTCATGTCATGGTTTATGGTTGATAAATTTTAGAATGAAACTTTTAAAAAGTTAAAAATTAACGTTTAGTGGTATTTTACCACTTAAATATATAAATTTGTGTATTTCTCTTGCCTATATCAAATTTTTCATCTCAAGTATTTTAATTATTGAGCGCTAGACTATTTTGTGCAAAAAAATATAAACATTTCTGCCGCGTAAATATGGCGATGATCCGTTGATCTTTTTACAAAAGTTATCTTTGTTTTGGTCATCGGCTGCTCAAAATGCCCGGAAAATTGAAATATATTGAATTAGATAATTTTAAATCATATAAAGGAAAGCAATTAATCGGTCCTTTTAAAAATTTTACGGCCATCATCGGTCCCAATGGAACAGGTTCACTGTTTAGCTTTTTTTTGTTTTACTTATAATTTATTTTATCACAATTTTTTCCAATTTTACATTTTAATACTTTTTTAAAAAGCCGTATTTTTGTAGAAAAAGGATTAATTTGCACATATGCTCTTTCAGGAAAATCCAATTTGATGGATGCCATAAGTTTTGTCCTGGGTGAGAAGACCAGTAACTTGCGAGTGAAAAAACTCAGTGTTAGCTTTGTTGTAGAATCTTAAATTACATTTTGTGATTTTGATATTTTCAAGTTTTAAATGTAGAATAGAAAATATTGCAGATTCACAGACAACATTAGATTGAGATTAGGACGGGTCATAAAATAAGTGATTTAAAGATTCTTATTGAAATTTAATTACAAATAATTAACCCCACTCCTTGCCTTAACCACAGGACTTAATACACGGTGCTCCGGTGGGCAAGCCAGCTGCCAACAGAGCCTCAGTGACGGCTGTGTATGAGGAGGCAGATAGAAGGGAGAAACAGTTCAGTAGAGTCATCCACGGGTCAACATCTGAGTACCTCATCAATGGAAGGGTCTGTTATTGATTTGTATTATCAGTCATTAGGTTATCAGTGAATAGTTTTTTCAACAAACAATTAAAATTGTTCAGTTAATAAGAATTTGTAAAATAAAAATTTTTTTAGGTTTAGCCTAAAACAGATAAATATATTATTACTCACTAGACTGTCAAGGTGGAGGAGTATGCAGAGGCACTGGAGAAGATTGGAGTGCTGATGAAGTCCAAGAACTTTCTGGTGTTCCAAGGCCAGGTGGAGTCGATTGCCATGAAGAACGCCAAGGAGAGGACGGTTATGTTCGAGGAGATGAGCAGGTCTCAGGCTTTTTCATCAATCATTATTTAAAATTTTTAAAATTTTTAGTTCTATATTTTTATTTTCCTGTATATACAGATATATGCATATGTACACACACACGCAACACACACAAATACAAAGATCCATAGAGTTGCAGAAGGAATATGATGTAGCAAAAACTGAGATGCAGAAAGCAGAGGAGGAAACACAAGCCAACTACCACAAGAAAAGGAACATTGCTGCTGAGAAGAAGGAAGCAAAAATGGAGAAGGAAGAAGCCGAGCGTTATCAAAGATTAAATAACCAACTGGTTATTATCATAATTATTCTATAATAACAATTTATTATAATTTAATAAATAATTAACTAATTAAGTTCTTAAAATGTCTAGTTGTCTAAGATTTAAATTTGTAGAAGGCTCATCAATGTAAAGTTTTTCTTAAAAATTGTCCTCTTGACAGGCTGAACATGAGCTAGAGATGCAGCTCTTTCAGCTGTACCACAACGAGCGAGAAATAAGCGAACTGACGAAAGATTTCGAGAGAAAAAATGAATCATTAAAGAAGGAAACAACTGCCCAATCTAAAACAGAGGATGAACTGAAGGAGAAAAAGAAGGATCATGCCAAATTCATTCGAGATATCTCAAAAATGGAACAACAATACAAGGACCTGGTTAGTTGGGTCTTCTTTCTCCAATCCATTCACAGCTTATATTATTATATTTTTTAGAATGGATAAATGATGTATTGAGAGATCTGACTTACAAAGTTGCGCACACAAACATTTCACACAAACACACACACACACACACACACAGTCTGTTGGTTGAATAAATAGATGTTGAATGAGGAAATGAGAGAGCACATAACTATTGACTGTGTAATTGATTCGCCATTATTATTCTCCCTTCAATCAGGAGGTAGAACTGAACAAAAAACGACCTCAGTTTATTAAAGCCAAAGAAAAAACTGCCCATCTTATGAAGAAATTAGAATCGGCCAGGTGTGCCGTTGAAATACTGTTGAAATGTTTTTTCGATTTCCCTTTACAATATTAAACAAATCCTAACACTGTAAAACTTTCACATTTTTTTTACTCTTATTTCAACAAATTTTGCATACACTGGCAGACGTTCGCTGAAGGTGGCACAGAAAGCCAACGACGGCCATGAAAATGAAATAATGCAACTGGAAAAGGAGTTGAACGTCGTCGAGCAGAAGAGGCTGGAGTATGAGGAGCAGGTGGAGGAGGAGTCGCAGTCACAGGGGAGGAACATGCAGTTGGAAGAATCTCAGGTGAAGGAATATCATAGATTGAAGGAGGCAGCTGGTAAGAAGGCAGCTGCCTTGCTGCAAGAGCTGGATTCCATCAATAGAGTTCAGAAGATGGACCAGGACAAGTTGGACAATGAGATGAGGAAGAAGAGTGAGATCGAGGCGCACATCAAACAGAAAGAACATGAGATGCACGAGTCACAACTGAGGACTGAAAAACTTGAAGAGTACATCAAGTTAGTTGTTGGTTGCATTGATTGATTGATTGATTAATTGATTGATTGGCTAGTTCATTTATTTGTCCTTGCCTGATTGATTGGTCAGTTGTTTGATAGGTTACATCGCACACATTTAAATTGCATATTCAATGCTTAGGTCAAGTAAGCAGGCCATTGAAGAACAGAAAAAATTAGAGCAAACATTATCAGCTGATGTTGAGGTTGCACAGACAAGGATCCATGAGATACAATCTGAACTTGAGAAAGTCATGGACCAATTAGGTGAAGCTAAAGTATGTCACATTGTTTTATTTGTTTGTTTGCTCATTTATTATCATAATTAATTAATTAATTAATGTAAATAGGTCGACAAGCATGAATCTGCCAGGGCTCTAAAGAAGGCTGAACTGATTGAAACGTTGAAAAGATTGTTCCCTGGTGTGGTCAGTTGCATGTTTGTCATTATGTTTCAGATGCATCTTGAAGTTGATTAACTTATTAAAGTTGAAGCTAAAGCAAATTAAGTATAAATAATAATCTATTCGACATTCTTTATTTATTTTTCAATAATTGAAATGAAATCTCAAACTTATATTGATGAACAAATTAAAATATTTCCTCCTATGTGTCAATAGCACGGCAGGTTGATAGATTTGTGTGAGCCTAGCCACAAAAAGTATCAGGTTCGTTTTGTTTAGTTTATTCTCATTTATGTTACATCTGTCTGTTTATCATCAACTAGATACATGTAGATGCATTTTTGTTACAAATTTAAATAAATTTACTGATATTTATATTATCCCGAGTTTTAATTCTCATGGTTTTATACTGTATTTAATATGCATATCATCAAAAATAATCTTATCTCCAATCTTATCTCCTTTCATAGGTCGCCATTACAAAAGTGCTAGGCAAGTACATGGATGCAATTGCATGTGACTCTGAGAAGACAGCCAAAGATTGCATCCAGTACATGAAGGAGCAGAGGATTGAACCTGAAACGTTCCTACCACTTGACTACGTGGAAGTTAGACCTGTTAATGAGAAGTTGAGGTGGGTAATTTGCTGGTGGTCACTGGTGATTCTGTTGTTGTTGTAGCTGTTGTTGTTGTAGCTGCTGTTGTTGTTGTTTGCTGTTAGTGTTGTTAAAAAATTTTTTTTGTTATAAATCTTTTGCTGTGAAGAGTCTGTGCTGTGTTAATTTTTATCGACTTGTTTATTTTTTCATTAGAGACATCACAAAAAATTTTTTACTTGCTGTGATTACCATGATATGACTTGAAATGAATAGAGATATAAAGGAGCCAAAGAATGTGAAGTTAGTAGTAGATGTCATTCGATACGACCCACCATGTATCAAGAAGGCCTTGCTATTTGCTTGTGGTAATGCACTCGTGTGTGAAACTGTGGAAGATGCCAGGAAGGTGGCTTTCAATCTGACTGAGAGGCATAAGGTTGGTTGGTTTGTTGGTCAGTTGGTTTGTTGGTCAGTTGGTTGGTTGGTTGGTCAGTTGTTTGTTTGGTCAAATGTTTGGTTGAATGGTAGATTAGATGATTGATTGTATGGCTGCTAGAATTGCACAGTTCATTCATTTATATGTCATTAAACTCCTTTTTCACTTTTAGTTATTAACATAAAGAGATCTTTCAATTACATTCATCAATTCATCATTAAGTGCAGATTAAACATTTTACATTTCAAAACCACCAAAATTAGGCAGTGTCACTGGATGGAACATTGTTTCAGAAGTCTGGGGTGATCAGTGGAGGAGCCAGTGACCTGAAGATGAAGGCTCGCAGATGGGATGAAAAGATGCTGAACCAGCTGAAGTCAAGAAAGGAGAAGCTGACTGAAGAGATGAAGGAACAGATGAAGCAGAAGAGAAAAGAATCTGAATTGAACACCATCAGGTTGCTATTGTTTGACATTCAATTAATTTTTGTGGCATGTTATTTTTAAGTTTGTGCAAATTTTTCTAAATAAAGTGTGGAGATAATGTTAATAATTTTTGCTATATTTATAATAATTTATTTATATTTTTAATGTCTTGTTATATTTTCGTCGATTGACATGTTGCTTATATTCAAATGTTTGTCAGATTTAAAATCTTCTGTTCTTTTTGATTAATTTTTTGTTATCTCTGATGATGAGGATGATAATGCTGCTGCTAAGGCTGACAATGCTAATGATAAAATGAAGAAAAGGATGCTATTTTGAAATTAGATGATTTTATCTCCTAACAATCACCACTCACTCCATCAGATCACAGATCAAAGGCCTCGAGACGAGACTTAAATATTCCATTTCTGATAGAGATAACACAGTAAGTGATGACGACGACGATTATGTTGTTTGTTGTGATAATTATAATTAATTGAACCCTGATGATAATAATGACTATGATGGTAATTAATTATGATGATAATATTGTGGTTGCATGAGTTATCATTGGTCAAATGGTATGGCGTTATTTGTTACTATTACCGGTTACATTAATGCTGATAGGCACATACACACACACAGACACAAACACAGACATACACACATGCAGACATACGCACACACTCATACACACAGACATACACACACACGCACATGCACGCAACAACAGCAAAACCGTTCTATACAACAACTGGAGAAAGACATTGAAAACTTCAAACTGAAACAGGAGACTCTCGAGGTATCCTACCCATCTTATTTAACCTGTTATTTTTTTAATCACATCATCAGTCGATGATTATAGGGCTGTTGGTGCTAATGATGATGGTGCTGGTGATTTTGTTAACATTTTTGCTACAGACATTGTTCATATTGATGCCGCTAATGCTGTCTCTCTTTATTTATTGACTTATTATTTATTTTAAGAGATTGAAAAATTTAATTTTCAAGTAAATATCTTTCTGCCCTGATCTGACCTACATTATTAATTTATGTTTCAAAATAGCCTGAGATTGAGGCCATACAGAAAAGTATGTCGGATCGAAAGGTCAAGTTGAAGGCAGTCAAAGGTAAGATGGACAGAGTGGAGGATGAGATATTTCAAGAGTTCTGTGAAGAAATTGGTGTTGAAAATATCAGGTCCCATCTCAACTCACTTTTATAAATTATTATTTGTTAAATTAGGTTATTTTATTAATTATTTTACAAAATAATTTTTTTATATAAATAATTAAATTTATTTGTTATGCACTTGATGCATTTTCTCACTTCATTTACGTATTGATACACTGTGTGTTTGTTACTGCTGCCTCTGAGGAATTCTAAAAAGGAAATTGTAAAAGAAAAATGTTAGAATTAAATAATTTATAAAATTATCATTTGACAATGACATTCTGTCTCGCCCCATGCCACCGACCGCCTGACCAATCAGGCAGTACGAAGAGAGGGAGCTGCAGGTGCAAGAGGAGAGGGCACAGAAGAGGATGGAGTTTGAGAATCAGAAGATGAGATTGGTCAATCAACTGGAGTTTGAAAAGTCTCGAGACACCATGAGTTAGTTCATTAGCTCACTTATTTCATTCATACATTCATTCACCCATTTATTTATTTGTCAATTCATTTGTGTCATTTGTTTCTTTCATACATGTATCCAACCGTCCTACCTCGGGAAACCGGGTTTCTGGACGCAAAACGAAGATTGATTGATTGATAACTGTATCCAATGAATGATAGGTTGATTGTGTGATTGGTTGATATATTGAGCGCGTGATTGGCTGCTTGTTTCAGTGAATGTTCAAAAGTGGAAGGAAGCTGTTGCAGAGGACGAGAAGGAATTGGAGAAGTTGAAGAAGGAGGAAGAGAAACAAATGAAGGTAGATAACTTTGTTTGCTCTGTTGCATTCATTCATTCATTCGTTCATTCATTCATTCGTTCATTCATTCATTCGTTCACTTCATTCACGTTGCGTTACTGATTAATTAAAAATGACACACCCCTAACGCAACCACCACTAAGGAAATTGATGAAGAGATGCAACAACAGGAGAACCTGAAGCAGACGAAACTGGCCGTCAAATCGGAAGCAGATGACATCGAGGTCGAGTTGAACGCCATTCGAAAAAAATTATCCTCCCAACAGAAGGATGTCGCCAGCACTCAAAAGGCTATTACGGCTCTGGAAACTAAAATGGAACAAAAGAAAAATGATAGGCACGGAATGTTGAAAACATGTAAGGTTGGTCTTACTGTTTCTGCTTTCTATTGGGATCATGACTGGTCTTGAGGAATTATTAAGATGATTGAGTAAGAAATTGGCTGTTGGTTTGGTGTTGTTGATATTTCGTTTGTTGATTGATTGATGTTGATGGAGATATATTGAATTGACGCTTGTTTAATTACATGCTTCTTAACTACATATCTAATAAAATGTATTGCAAACAATAAATCAAACTCTTTCACTTTTCCAATTTTTTCAACATCAAACATTCGATTGGATCAATCACCCTGCCCCTAACAACCAATCAGATGGAGGGCATCCATCTACCTCTGAAGAGAGGTTCCATGGACGACATTGTCAGTGTGGAGACTTCAGCCAATCAGACTCAAGATGGGGGTGGGGATAGGATGAGTCAGGGCGACACGCAAGCCCTCTACGCCAGGGAGGCCCGCATACAAATCGACTATGCAAAACTTTCAGAGGAATATAAAGAGGTTAGCTGTTCTTTTCTTTTTGATGAGTGTTGTCTGGTTGTTGTATTGTGTTTTTTTTATTGTTTTGTTTCACATTCATATCTATTTTAAGTACATTTTAGATTGTAGTTGTTCTTTTTTTTTAATTTTCGAGTGGTAGATTTGAATGAATAATATTTATTTGATTGATTGATCATTCAATTAATTGATTGATTGATTAATTGATTGATTGATTAATTGGTTGATTGATTGAAAATAGATATCAGGTCATGATGAATACAAGAAATGCTTGGATCAGTTGTACAAGCAGATATCAGACATGCAGTCGACCATACAAAGGATAGCTGCTCCTAACATGAAAGCCCTGGAAAAGTAGGATGCACTTCTTTTGAAACATTCTTCCTTATTTTTATCCTGTTTGGAGTTGTATTAATTATAAAATCATCAAATTTTTCAGTTATTTAATAGTTTTGCATGCTGGCAGGCTAGAGAATGTGAAAGCCAAAGCTCAAGAGACGATGGACGAATTTGAAACAGCCCGTCGTAAGGCTAAGAAGTGCAAGCAGACGTTTGAGAAGATCAGGAAGGAAAGATTTGATAGGTTCATGAACTGCTTTGAGCATGTCTCCAACAAAATCGATGATGTCTATAAGGTTAATTGGTGGTTTTTTTTAATTTTTGAAATGAAGAGAGGACTCAGTTATATAGAAATATTTTGAATGGGTGTGTTTCAAATCCAACATGCCTTCATCATTTTAGGTAACGACAAACAAAACGCTATTGCTACAAATTCAAACTAAACTATAGCCGCAACAACAACTGCACAACTGCAAATAGGCCCTCTCAAAGAATCAGAGTGCCCAGGCCTTCCTAGGTCCAGAGAATGCAGAAGAACCGTACCTTGATGGTGTGAACTACAATTGCGTGGCACCTGGCAAGAGATTCAGACCTATGGATAATCTCTCCGGGGGTGAGAAAACTGTGGCCGCCCTTGCCCTCCTATTTGCCATTCATAGGTTGGCACTAATTTTTTTAATTTCATTATAATTGTAATTGCAATCGCCATTTCTTACCTATTACCACCAACGATCACCTACAACCGCCAACAACCACCAGTTATCAACCAGCACCGTTCTTTGTACTGGATGAAGTTGATGCCGCCCTTGATAACACTAACATTAACAAGGTTTGGCTGCTATACTATTATTACCATAATTATTTATCATAATTTTTTAATATAATTATTTATCGTAATTATTTCTAAGATAACTACTAACACTATAATATTGCCGAAACAAACATTTGAAAGGTCGCCAGTTACATAAAGGAAGAGTCGGATAAAAATTTCCAATGCATCGTCATCTCTTTGAAGGAGGGTTTTTACAATTGGGCCGACGCTCTCATTGGAATTTACCCCGAGGTTATTTTGGGAAATAGTGGTAGTGATAAATTTAGTTTTCTTTTTAATCTTAGTCTAATTTTTCTTCTGCATGCAGCTGATATTTTTTGGGTTACTTTCAAATTTTTGTCAATTTGGTTACTTGTTAGATAGATAGAAATTTCGTTTTATGTTCTGCTATGTGCCAATATAGTCTAATTTATTCTTGTAGATTATATTTTTTTTCATATTATTATTCGTTTATCAACATATTTTTAAATTTTTTTTTAATTTTTTTTTAATATTTTTTTCTCCTTATTTGCCGTCGTCAATAGCCTTCAGATTGTTCAGTCAGCAAGGTACTAACAATCGACTTAACGGAGTACACTAATGAAGAGCCTTCCTAATTAATTAATTCATTTAATTAATTAGTTAATAGTTAATTAACTTTTCAATTAATTAATTCAATTTTTATGTTTATTTATTCATTCAAATTAATTTGTTTTTCTTTTCAACTTTTTTTTTATATATATGTTTCAAAAAAGCCGGAATTTTGAATGTTCAGAAAATCTTCTATGTTGACAGTTTCATAACCATTGTAAATATGTTCATGTTGGAGTGACCAGAGATAAACATACGTACGTTACTATAATGAAGTGTTCGTCTTGGTTTTCTCTTTAGTTCATTCTTTATTAAATCAAATAATTTTTTTAAAGTTATTAACAAACAAATAAATAAATAAAAAATAAAACTCTGTTTATTGTTCTGTTATAATTATGGTTATTGTTACTAACGACTAACCTTTTTTTTGTTTCGTCGCTAAAACCTTTGCAAAAGATCTATTGAATTAGGCTTTAGTAAAAAACATTGGTCAGATTTATTGAAATTTTTGGTTGCTGGTGCTGTTATATGAAATTCGGTACATAGGTAACTTGTTCGATTGTTACCTGTTTTTTTGTTTGTAATGGCGCTATGATTTGCGAAATATTTTTCCAAGCGGAGTTGAAAAAAAGTGCCAACACGTAAAATAGCGAATGTTAGTACAAGATGCATACACCAGAGGTTGTCCTAAAATATGGCAGACCTTTTGAAGAGTGAAGTTTTCTTGAAATTATCCGTTACTTATTAATGATAATGAAAACTGTTAGATTGACAACTGCGTGGTCAGCAAGGTGCTAACCATGGACCTGACGGAGTATGAGGATGCCGACAGACCAGAGAGTCCGCACAACTTCATCTCCTCATTCAGGAGATTCTCTGATATCTGATTTCTATGAAAATAATATTTGTCTCCCTTCTTTTTATTTATTTTTTTGAATCGCTGTTGTAATATTCTTCAATTAAATGTTTTTTTTATTGTGATTATTTTTGTTTAATATTTGGTAAGTTGTTTAAGTTAGTGACAATGAATTTAGTGCAAGCACGTGTGATGTGAGGGTACGTGCCGTGCTATGAAATGTTAAAAATTTGTTTCAATTTTCGGTTCTTATCAACGGACAAGTTTAGATTTCATCAAACAATCGACAGTTTTATATTTTTTATTTCAATTTTCGTGTTTGTTTTTGTTCATTTTGGACTGTTTTGAAAAAGTTTAAATTAACGTAAATAAAAACCAGTGAACATCTAATTTAACTTTTTCTTATCTTTGTTCGAAAAATTACTCGCGTGTAAGAGAGATAGAGTAAGAGTAGGAAGAGAAAGATGGACAAAGATAATTGGAGAGAGAGAGGGAGGAGCAAAAGTAGGAAAAAGACGGGGAGAAAAAGAAAATTTTTTTTGCGTGTATGTGGGTGATAGATAGAAATAAGAGAAGAGGGGGAAAATGAGAAGATTTGTAAAACAACGCCAAGTGTCACTCATCCAAGATTTCAACAAAATTTTATCTGGAAGCCCTTAGAAAGTGGCCTACGTCCATTTCTCGATGGAAATCTTAAGGATGGCGTGTCAACACATTTTAGTTTTTAGCTCTTTTACTTTTTACATAAACTGCATTTTTAAGTTGAAAAACGTGGATCACGTTGAAGTTCTTATTCAGTTTGGAATCTCTTAATTTTTTATTTTTTTCTACGTTGTGTTTGTGAATGTGTGTGTGTGTGTGTGTTGTGTCTGTAAACACGTTTGTGTTTGTGAATACATTAAAACGTGCCCCCAAAGAAACCCTTTGAAACGGGCTCGTTTGAATAAAAAAGGTTTCCCAACTGATTCATAAACATTCACACATAGGTACCACACATACTCATCAACATTCTTGTAAACGTACACACTCGTACATACACACACGTACTTACACACAGACATAGTTACGCACATTTTCAGGAAGTCGTTCATAGTTATTTAAAAATTTATTTATTTAATAAACTTAGACACGCGCTTGAATGGTGGCTACGACGACAAGTGCATCAGCTTCATAAAACGCCATCGTTGTCGTTATTATTATTAATATTATTTTTATTATTATTCTTATTGATGTTGCAATTGTTGTTGTAGATGAAAGATCAGAGGTAGCGTTAATGGCTTCTATACGGACAAAAACACTGAATGCATTTGCAGCTGTAGTAGTAGCAGCAGCAGAAGTAGCAACAATATTAGTAGTATAAGTATTGCAGTATCAGTAGAATTAGTAGTGTTAGCAGTAGCAGCAGCAGAAGTAGCAACAATATTAGTAGTATAAGTATTGCAGTATCAGTAGAATTAGTAGTGTTAGCAGTAGCAGCAGCAGTATTAGAAATAGCGGCGGTAATGGTAGTGGCATTATTATGTGTGTCTTTATCAAACATGACATGTTGGTTTTAGGCGTTTTGCTGACTTTTAGAAATGCTTTCGATGGAGGTGTGCGTGTGTGCGCGCGCGTGTGTGCGTTGTTACGCATTGATATTTAAATTATTTATGTTGGGTTGTAATGCACATATACACATACATTTATATATCTGCGTGCATGCTTTGTTTTTTTGTTTATTTATCTATACGCAAATTTTCAGTTTTGTTTTTTCATATTTGTTTGTTTGTTAGTGTCGGTGTTGTTTGAATTTTATTTTTTCTGTTTGATCTTTCAAACTTTGTTATCCGAGCATTTTGTGATGCGTTTATGTGTTTTTACATCCTTGTATGCGATGCGTAGACATGTTTGTACACATTTACTTGAGTATCCATAGGACGCGAGGATGTATATACTGTACAGGTATTAGTACATATATTTGTATTTTGAACTTACAAACTACATTTTATACTTTACCAGAAATGCTGTTGAAATGCGAGTATTTTAAAATGTCATTTAAAATAGTTGAGTGCGGGCTGACTGCTTTTTGAGGGGATTCATCTCTATTTACCTTCTTCTTCATCAGTCTACAACATGTTTTGCTGTCTTCTGTCTGTAGCAGCTGAAGATTGCCCATTTAACACAGTTGTAGTATTATTACTGACCAAAAAATAATATTTTACGAGTTAGTAGTAGTTGTAGCAGAGTCAACATTACCAGCTGTAGCAGCGGTAGTAGTAACAGTAAGAGAAGAAGTAGTAGCAGCAAAAACAATAGAAGCAGAGAAGCGTTAGTAGTAGCAGTATCAGTAATGTTACTAACAATAGTAGTCTTTATAATGGATATAGTGATATTTATTCTATAGTGCGGCGCTGTGATGCATAATGCATCCAAGGTCGGTGCAATGTGTTGTTTGCCGGTTTACTGTATCAGTCGTACAACACGTTTGCTTGCCAGTACGGAAAGGTGATTAACCTTTATTCCATCTTCTGTCTGTGTGTGTGTGTGTGCGTTTTTGTGCGTATGTCTCTGCGTGTGCGTGTATCTCTGCGTGTATGTGTGTGTTTGTACAGTATACCATTTTACTGGCATCTTAATTTATGTGTGTATACATGTACGTGTACGTGCATAACATGCAAGTGTTCATGTAAGTGTATGTGCTTTCGTGTAAGCGTATGCTTGTGTGTGTGTGTGTGTGTGTGTGTGTGTGTTGTGTGTGTGTGTGTGTGTATAGGTTTGTGTATTTTGTTTAAATGTGAAGTCAGCGTGTGATTGAAACTTAGCGAGGCATGTGTGTATTTATTTTTAAAGTTCAAGTGCATGTGTTGAACTTGTGAATGAAGAACAGATGTGGAAGAGAGAGCTTGAGGAAGAGAGAGGGAAAGAGAGAAAAACAGAGTAAAAAAATAGAGGTCAATGTATAAAAAAGAAAACAGATTGGCAGGCGTGAGTTTTTAAAAGCGTACAATCAACAAAACTGCCCTCAATGTCTGCGTTGTACTACTTAGAGAGGGAGAGAGCTGAGCGATAAACAACGACAGGAAGACGACAAAATAAACAACAACAAACCCAACAACAACAAACACAACAACAACATAAACACAACAACAACATAAACACAGCAACAACAACATAAACGAAAAACAATGATGTACGAAAACAAAATAAATCAAGTAAAATTGTTGTAAGAATCTAACACCAGAAGAAAAATGAGAATAAGGTAATCACAAATTAAACCGGCATGTAGCAATTTATATAACGCGCTGGAAAACTAAACACACAATAAAAAATAGAAACAAATAAAACAAAAAAAAGGAATAGGAACACAAAAGAAGAGAAGAAAGCAAAACAAATGATAATAAAACCATGGGGCGTCCAAGCATCCAGCACACATACATATCGAACGCCTTACGCGCAAATCCTCCCACCCTCTCTCTCTCTTTCTGTCTTTTTTTCTCTTTCTCTCATTTTCTTCTTTCTCTCTTTCTCTTCTTTTTTTGCTTATGTTACATTCTCCTATCTCTTTGTCTCTTGTTTTTCGATTTCTCTTTCCACAATAAAAATATTGGCCAAGAGCAAAAAGATCCCAATAGAATCATAAAAGAATCCGAAAAAAAATTTTATAAAATTGTTTTGTAGGAATTAGCCGAAAAAAAAGGGAAATATTGTACATAGATTAACGTTGATAGCTGCTGGATCGGTTGATGTAATGATGATTGAAAAGATAAAAATTTTGAGAAAAAAAATTATGGAAAAAATTATTTTCTTCATAGATGTTGATATGAGAATTTTGTTTCAATTTTATTTCTAAAAAATGAAAGATGCGTTAAAAATTTAAAATCCGTGTACAACGCCATCATTAGCCTGCGTATATATATACGTAGGTATGTATGTGTGTGTTGCGTATCTCTCTATATATGTATGTATGTGTGTATGTGTTTGTGTGTGCGTGTGTGTACACATGATATGTTTGCGTAGGCATTATGCATGTTTACATATGTTGTTTCCTTGTTGCTTGCTTGTATGTTTAAACACAGTGCGTGTTTGCATTATACTGTATACGTTCGTTTATTTTCAATGTAGATTCATTCGTTCATTCGTTCATTCGTTCATTTACTCATTTATAAATTCATTTATCTATTTATGCATCCATTCATTCATCCATTCATTATTCCAACCATATTTTTCTCATTTTAAAAAACCTTCTTCATCCTGATCTTCTTAACTTTGGGAGTTGAGTTATTTTAATGGGAAGCACTGCTCACACACGTACACACACACACGCACGCACACGCACAAAACATGCGACAGAAAAAAAATACATTGAACTCATTTTAACACTAACGAGACCATAACTTTTCTGGAAACTGAAAAAAATATTAGTTTTTTTTACTGAAAAATAATAAAAAAAACACAGAAGGATAACAATAATAATAATAATTTAGAGAACATTTTTCTTGCACGGCAATACTTTATTCTTGTGTAGTTCTTAATTAATTTTATAAAGACCAATAAAAAGTGAACGTAGACTCACAGTTGAACACGCAATCACGCACATACACACGCGTATGTATGCGCGTACAGACAAAAGTGTACGCG